AGTTTTATAGCAAAAATACTAGCAATACATCTTTATATGAAAAAATTACCAACATTATCTATTTATAGTAAAATTACCAACAATACCTATTTATAGCAAAATGACCAACAATACATTTTATAACAAAATGACCACATTTTATCTGTAGTTGAAGGCATGCAATTCAACCAAACATCCAACATGAAAAAACTTTTTATAAATATAAATAAAATTTTATAATATCCTACAATTTCTTAAAAAAATCAAGCTATATTCCAAAATATAACTTCAACAAAACTACAACATGAAAAATATATATCACCGCCTCTGATAAATATGTCCACACAAACATGTATATGCATAAAAGCTGAATATCATCTACCACGTATTCAATTGTGAAAGAAGAATAACATATGTTATATTTTTATTAATTCAAAACTCCCAAGAAAATAAAGTTTCCGCATTAGATGACCCATAAGCACTTGATATGCCATTAAACAAACAATCAAACAAATAATTTATTTTCCTTAAACTTAAAAAAACTTTAAAAAAAGTTACTATGACCACAAAGATTTAAACTAAACACAGTTAATCTCATTCTAAATCATTCAAAATATTTAACTGAAACCATAAAATTGTTCAAAATATTTCTATTTCGGTATTAAATGACCCATAGAGGTGTTGATATACCGCTAAACAAAATCAACCAAACAACAAAGATGAAAAAACTTTTTCATGACATTGATCCATATAATATCCTACTCTATTCCAAAATATAACTTCAACAAAACTACAACATAAAATACACTTTACCTGTAGTAGGGGGCACAGTGGAGTAATGGATAGTGGCTCGATTCCAGTCAAATCCATTACATTCACTTACGTACTAATACCCTTGGAAAAGGTATGAATCTTCTTCTTCTCCCAGTCCCAGTGATCTTCTGTGGTAGACCAGTTGGATGGCTGCTACCGAGAAAGAAATGGCAACCTACTTGAAATGCACATAACTGACTGACCTCTAGTAATCATGTATTGAAATGCACATAACTCACTGACCTCTAGTAATTATGTTCACACAAACAGGTATATGCACAAAAGCTGAATATTATCTACCATTTATTCAATTGTGAAAGCAGAATAACATATATTATATTTTTATTAATTCAAACCTCCCAAGAAAATAAAGTTTTGGTATTAGATGACCCATAAGCAGTTGATATGTCATTAAACAAACAATTCATAGACATTTTTTCTTCTTGTAATACAATCAATATTTTCCTTTGTCAATTTAAATCAGAGTAAATTCTTGAAAGAATTATTTTAACACATGGAAGTGATTCCTAAATAATGTTGTATCCATGTAAAAATTAAAAAGCTGATAATTATTTTCATTCTGTTTATTTTCTAAATGCCATAATTCAAACAAAAAGTTAGGGAGGAGTTCCCCATTAATAAAAGAAAGAGCAATAACAGTTACTGGACTTGAGAAAACCATTTTCTGGAAAAATTGTTTTAAAAGAAAGATTTTATAAATTTCAAGCGACAGTGGCATTGGCTGCTCTATCAATGAATACCAAATGTTTCCTTATAAGAAAATGGCTAATATTACCATTATTATTCCTTCCATATATAGGCGGTCATAACTCTCTACAACTACTTTCTTTAATATCACTGAATTGCCATGACTTCTTCAGAAAGATACTAGAATGGTTTCTTGTTTTCTCCACAGTTTTGAATTCAAGAGCTATGGCTTCTCTTAGACTGACTACCATTCTCCCTTTGATGGCGCCAGGGAGACATGATGTATTCATGCACATCCCAATTATATTTTGTGTGAAAGTGAATGCAACAGAATAGGCCTAAATTTGCTCCCACACCCAATAAAGATTATTTCACACACACCCATATGAAAAAGTTTTTTTATTGTTTAAATTCTTACTTGCAACCCCACTTAAAGCACTCTGACGAGGGCCTAACAAAAAATTAAATTTATGAAAAAAAATTAACAAAACAGAAAATTATATTTTTTTATTTTGTGCCAAGTAAATCTAGAATAATCATTTTTATCCAACATAGCAATTTTATTGTTAAAAATTATTCAAGTACCCAGTCTTTCGCTATTAACTGTTTTTCCTGATTTATCTCCCTTGCATCAATCGACATTTTCCATATAAAAATTGTCACATCTATTATGTGTGTCTGTGCGCAAATATTTTATTTCATACACATAGATAGATAGATAGATAGATAGATAGATAGATAGATAGATAGATATGAACAGGCTAAGATAGACATGAACAAACTGAGATAGATATGAACATAGATATGAACATAGATATGAACATAGATAGATAGATAGATAGATAGATAGATAGATAGATAGATAGATAGATGGTTTTTCTCTTCACACCACTGTTACCGTATACTGCTGTTGGAATTTTTATTGCTTTAAAAAGTTGTTTTTAGAATTTAAATAAAACCCAAACATATGAAACTGGATTTATGACTTCTCTTTTTTCTCCAGAATTGACAACAAAAGAATTAAACATAATTTATTTTATTAGATTGTTTATTTTTGAGAATAATTTTATATTTACAACATTACAAAAACATGTGAACCAACTATAATGAAATATTTATTAATTACAATTTTACAAAGAAATAAATATGAAAATAAATTTTTATATTCATAAATTTATAAAAGTGTCTGTGAACAAGAAAATGTACATAAACCCATGATAAGAAACTGTAATTACAAATTTTAAAAAATGCATTTTCCAGGATTTTCTTTCAATTGCTCTCAAGAAAATAAATTCACTAAAATAGTTGTGAGCATCTCTTCCTCTGAACCAAACATTCTTTTAATTTTAGATCTTAGGCAAGACCACAAACACTCAACATTTTTGAGTGCGTATCTCCTCATTCATTGGATGGACAAATTTTTCCCTGTGTTTAATTACAGAATGTCTGTCATTTTTAGCACAAATATTGCATTGTCATTAGTTTATATTTTGGTAATATTTATAAATTTTTTAATAAAAAGATTTCTTTTCAAATTTCTTTCTTTGTAAAATGGTAAATATTAAATAATAAATATTTATAAAAGGGAAGTATTAATATCACATTTTACTTGGTTCACATATTTTTATAATCTTGTCAATAAACATTGCTGAGGGAGTAAAAATAATGGTGTAATAGTGTCAAGGGAATACCCATCCTTTGGACACATCCTTTCATTTTACATTGTCATAATTTTTAAGTAATTAATGAATTTTTTAATCAACCCATGATTCTTATTATAATAAATGTTATGTTTAATTGGGACACATGTTTAATTAGACATCTTCTTTTATTGTTTGTTGTTTTTGTAGTTTTTTAAAGCAAAATTATTGTCTGCCAGACTAGAGATCGAAGGTCTTATGTGTCACCAGACAGGAATTGAACTTGTATTTTCTTTTTAATCTGGAAAACCACTATAATGTTCAAATTGGCTAAGTTTATCATTTTAAAGAAGTTGTGGTAGTAAGTTAAGTTTAATAAAGAAAAGAAAATTAAAATATTTCTTGAATTCTCTAAAAAGGGTCCGAATTGTGTCAACCTAGTTTCTAACCTGAACAAAAATACAATTCCACCAAAAATCTGTCTATGTGTTTCAAGCCTATCACGTGACATACAACATTATAAATACCAAGTGATATTTTCAACTCCTCCTCTTTTTTGCCTTCTCTCACACACAAGATGTAACGTTAGAGAAATTTTGACTCTTTTGGGCAAACACTATGACATACACACACACACACACGTATGTACAAACATTGAATATTTCTTAACTCATCAACTACAAACAACAGAAACTTATTTACTTCAAAATCTTCTAGAGCTTTAAGTTATGATTCAACATATTCTCAGCTTTCCAGAATTCTCTCACTCATATTCAACTCTCTTCAGTGAACAATATAAGCAGCAAGTTAATTCCACTTTTCAATATTCAATTGAAGATTACATGTTCTCTCAATCAACAAGTTTCTTTGAACTCATCTTACACCGAATTTTAGCCTACAACACCTTCGTATCGAAAAACATTCTTTCCGTTGAAACTTACTCTTATTTCATGAACTGAAATCTTTTCTGTGAGTCGAGATAAAAATAAGTTTCCTTAAAGTCTTAATTCAAATAATAGTTAAAGGGAAATAACTCCTGCTATTACAACTCTTACTATATAAAAATCACATACGTGATTGCTTTGTATGCCATTTGATTAAAATGAAGATTGTTTGTTATTATAAAAGCTGTTTTTGTGTTTCTCTTGTTTGCTGACACAGCTGTAAAATAAAAAAAATGTACGGATTTAATTGAGGTCGTTCAATACCCCTACATTTCTACAAGCTAACAGATTTTTATAACCAGCATTAAAACAATAAAACAATCGAAATAAATATGAGTTTGTCATATTGATATTTCAGTTTATGAAATTATTTAGAAGGTAGAAAATTAAAACCATTACTTTGTTGAACAACTTTTTAGGGGCTTGAGGCTGTAGCCTATACTAGCGTAAATGATAATCCGGCCCTATATTTCACATAGGACATGATTTCTCTGAATGTAAAAAAATTGTGGAAAATAGTTAAATCAAATTCTTAATTGGTATGATATCTGTCCTCACTAAAAATAAATACTTATTATTTGTAATGTTTTCACATTTTTAAATGGTTTAGAAAAAAAAATGTTTTCCATCTTTACTCCTTTAAATTTATATTTTTTCAACATCTATTTTTGTTTTTTGGTTTTAAAACGAATCGTATTCTGTGTTATTTTATTTATTTTTTGTGAGAATAGAAAAAAAAACAATTAATAGAATTTTTGTTTTATTTATTGAAAAAAAAAGAAAAGAAAAGTACATCAACTCGTCGTCTTTAATGGAAAAAAATAACACGAGGAATTTAATTTCCTTCATCACCGCAAATACTCTAATGGCGGGAAAGTTTTTGACCATCTGAAGACAATATCTTGGAATAGAGATAATGATTTACAGCAAAACTCAAAGCAGCCCACGGGCTGAAACGTTACTTTCCGAGCCAACAAATACTCAAAGTACTTTTCCCAGGCAAACAGTCATCTATGAGAATAATTCTAGTCGATTTCGTATAAAAGAACGTTCTTTTTGCCAACAATTTGCTCATATCTATGCAGCTCGACTGCAATTTATGAGACCAAAACTGGAAAAAGTAGCCCGCGAGAAATGGAGTAAGTTGCTGTTAGTTTATTTTTTTTTTAACTTAATGTTCCATTTTAACTTAATGTTCCATATGAAAGATAATTCGTGATTTTATTTAAGGTATTTCTACCATACCCTATTAAATACGTATTGTTGTTAAAAAGAAAAAAAAAAACTTTTTTTTATTGACACGTTTTCTTGATCAGTTAAACAACAAAAACACTATTGAAGCAAATATCGAGTTTTTTTGTTTGTTTTTTTTTAAGTGCAAATAAATAGATTATAAAAGTAAAACACGTTAGATATTTTTGAGGTTATTTTATTTTTATTAATCGGGAACCCGCTTTTGTCTTTGAAAGTAACTTTTTTTTATTTTTTCTATGTTGAAAATCATAAAGAAAAGTTACAAAGCGGGGACTACTGAATTTTTTTGTTTCTTCTAAATAAAGTGTTAATTCCTTGACTAAAAACGGCCATCTCCCCCTCCCCAACACACACACAGAAACGAGCGCGCATGCGTGTTTCAGTTTTTCAGAGGAAATTTCATTTTTTCTCTTACGAAGGGCGTTTAGCTTTCAACTATTGTAAAAAAAAAAAAAAACTACGTCGAATGGATAAAGGGTTTAATAATTAGAATGCTATGTTGAAATTTAGAAATTATGTATGTCGTTTTTTGTTTTTTTGTTTTTTTTTGTTTTTTTAGGGACTAACATTAGTTTTTGACTGACCGTCCTTAACCCGAGACACTTGTCAAAATCGAAAAATATTGATATTAAAGAGGAGTCCTAAATACTGTAGTCAATCCCTAACAATTTTATTTACAGAGTTATCGGAAATTAGTTGTTTGTTTACAAATTGTTGTGTGCTAGTGCTTCTTTACGTCTTTGAATCATTGATAGATCTTTCTTTCTATTTTTATATATATATATATATATATATATATATATGTCTGTAAGGGTAACACCATACACTGTAGTGTACAGGGATCGATTCATTTGACACTATCGATATCGTGAACAAGACCCCCCCCCTCACTAAATCAATAAAAAAAATATTTTCCGATCTGACAAATGCCACGACTTTAGGGATAAAAGAATGCTAATTTTTTTACCGAATTTACATTATTTGGACTATTGTTCTCATCTTTGTCGCCATATTTATTACAAATTTTCGGCCGTTTTACGCTTCCGGCCTTCTTCAGGTGGTTAGAATGTCGAACTGAACCCTTCATTTCGCTCACTGGAGTAGACTGGGGAGCAAAATAAAGGATTCAGTCCGACATTCCAACCACCTGAAGAAGGCCGGAGCGTAAAACGGCCGAAAAGTTGTAATAAATATGTCGACAAAGATGAGGACAATATTCCGAATAATGTAAAAAAAACGTAATACCTCATCTCAGAAATAGACAGATGCTAATTTTTTAAATCCTTCATCTTTTTTCTTTCGAATTTTAGCAATTCTGTATCTTTATCCATTCTTCATAAAAGCCTTTTCCTTAAAGTTTAAACTCATGAAATAATGGAATTTTGACTTTAAAAACAAACATTTCAATAGTCGTGTCACTTGATTGATTGGCCATTTTTTAAAAGATAAAAAAAATAGATCAGGCTCCTCCTGTAAATTACTCGTGTAATACCCCCCCCTACACACACACACACACACACACACACACACACAATTTTATTTTAAGCCTAACAGCTTTTAAATTTTGTTAATGGCAATGCATATGAGAACTATTAACTTTTTTTTTCTCCTGGCTACGTGTATCTCTTTACTCGGGTTCAAACTAACATGTAACAAAAAAAGTTTAAATCGCTGACCAAATGATTTTTTTTTTTTTTACTCTGCTTCCCTACTGCCGTGTCAAAAATAGATGTTATTTCACAACATTATTTTGTTCTTAGTAGTGATGTCCAGTTTCGTTTTACTTTTTTTTTTTTTTTTTACTCCTCTTCAAAGAAATATAGTAAGCGTACTGCCTGCATTGTAAACTATATTATTTTTAGTTGATCATTAAAAGTAATTAATATTTGTTTCAAATCTGATTAATTAAACTTTAAATCAGGTAATCTTTCTTAAAGTTTCAGAAAAAAGCATATTTTATTTTTGAAAGATTTAATTTTTAAAAATATCCATTTTTAGCGATTTTTCTGCAAGCAAACAAACTCATTCCAATCAATTCAAATTCGGTTTAAAAACCGAATTTGAATTGATTGGAATGAGTTTTTTGTTTATTTCCAAAATACTTAAACCGTTTAAGTATTTTGGAAATAATCTAGCTTGAAATTAAAAATAAAATAAAAGCTTCAAGAAAGATTTTTAATTTTTAAAGATTAATTTTAAACATTAGTTAAGGTTGTTTTTTGTTTGTCTTTTCGTTTTGTTTTGTTTTGTTTTTTTAAGAACAAAATAAAAACTGTAATTCTACTCTGATCCAAAAAGTTGCATGAAAAAGTTAAAAACAAAAATAAATAAATACAGAAGACCAGTAATTCAATAATCCAGAATTTATTTTAAAAATAAATTTTCTTTTACCAATATGTGTACTTGGTAGAGACAGAGGCGCAGTACTAAAAATAAGAACTAGAAAAAATATCCCTCAACATTGGCAGTGGAACAAGAACAGTCTATGCCTGTAGATTAAATAAAGAGTTCAGTTCAAAATTCTCTGTAGGTTACCCAGATCAATATACAGGGTGCGATGGATAAATTGTCATCTAAATTACACAAAAAAGAAAATAATACAGACATAATATTTTAACAGAAATATTTACCAAGATTACACAAAATATCTTTAAAAATTTAGGGAGAGGTTCCCAGGTCCCTTCCTTTTTGCAGTAGTAGTGCTGTCATGAATCTCTTGCGATTTGTGGCAACGTCTCTTCATACTGAGGGTGCTGGGTTGGTAGTTTTCTGGTTGCTGTTCCCAACTGGTAGCTAGGAGCCCAAACTCTTGTGTAGTTTCTTGAGAGGTTGCTCTGATCAACAGTTGCATACTATCGAGGTTCTTGCAGTGCCATGCCGCGCATGGAAACTGTGGGCAACCCTGAGGCCACATTATGTTGCAGTCTGCACCAGTTCCTTTCTGCCCATGTTACATACAATGACCATCTGCTATTATTACATTAGGCCTTTTCCTTGTCAACATAACTTAACATGACCATAAACAACCAAAAATATTTAAAAAAAATCACCTAAACCCTTTAACCTTTCCTTCTCCAACATCCATGGTATTTGTTCCAACTTCTGCAGTGTGGAAATGTTCTTCTTTGAAAAGTCTCCTGTGAGACTAACCTTAACTTGTCGGTCCCTTTCCTCTGATTTCTGGCTACCTTCCTCTCCTTAGAAATGACTCTAAAATCCACATACATAGCCTGGGAGTTTATGTCTGCGATCATCTCCCACTTGTTAAGGAACTCTCTTTGGAATCTCCTAACCATTTGTTTATATGTCTCCATCTATCTTTCCTCAATTCAGTAAGCTATCTCTTTCTCTATCATTCCCCTTCCTCTCAAAACTGTGGTGTACTCGATAGCATTTCTAATATAGACAAGGCCATCCCTCTGCATCCGTTTGCACGCATTTGTGTTCAGTGACTTCAACACCCACCATACTATGTGACTTAAACACTCTTTAACTAACCTCGCTGACATCCAAACCCTTAACTTCTCAAACACTCAATCCCTCATGCAAGTGGTTGACTTTCGTACACATTTCCACAGTAACCTTGATGGCAATGCTTCCCTTTTCAATTTCTGTTTTACCTCCATCCCTGATTCTTGTTGCCATACACAGCTCTGCCCTCTTGGTAACTCTGATCACACCGTAGTATCTATTAACATCTCCTTCCACTTCCCCTCTAGCCAAGAACCTCCTACTAACAGAATATCTTTTTGTTATCAACATGCAGACTGAGACTCATTCCATGATTTCCTTTGCAACATCTCTTGGAATGTGTTTTTTAATCTTGCTGTTCAAAAATGCGTGTCTGAGGTCTCCTCCTGGATCAATATTGAGGCTTTCATCCCAGAAAGAAACTACAAAGTTAAATGCGCTAAATCTCCTTGGTTCTCAGCTGCTTTCTCATCTGCTATAGCCAATAGGAATCACTTCTTCCATCTGTACTGGAGCGGCATGTCCTCTGCTTGTAATGAGTATCCTCAAGCGTGTCCTCAGTGAAGCAAAGTTACTTACTATTTGTTGATAGAATGAAGCAACATATTGCATCTCACAAGTTTGGTTCTAAAGATTATGGCAGTTCTGCAAGAGTGTGCTGAACAACAGCAAATCTGCAATCCCTCCTTTATTCAATCAATTCGAGGTCCTAACTTCCACAGCTGATAAGGCTGAATGCCTTACTTGAAAAGTCTCATCCAGCAACACTTCACTTGTCTGGAGTACCCACACCTGATTTTCCCCCTTAGAACTGAGGTTCTATTGAGTGAGATGGATGGTATTGGACATCATCTCTAAATTAGGCTGTAATAAAGCAAGTGCTGGTGACAAGATACCAGCTGTAGTCCTAAAGAAATGTTCTAAGCTGGCTCCAGTTCTCTCCAAGCTATATAACTATTGCCTCTCTGACTCTTGCTTTCCAGCCTTTTAGAAGTCCTCATTTGTCTCTGTTTTTTAAGAACTCTGGAGACCCTACTGACCCATCTAACTACCGTCCTATCAGTCTCCTATCACTCTTTGGCAAAGTCTTCAAGGCATCAATCAACACTGAAGTGGTTAAGCACCTTACATCCTATTATCTATTCTCTGACAAACAATATGGTTTCCGCTTTGCCTGGTCTACTGCTGACTTGCTTACAGCCATAACTGAATTTGTATACCAAGCTCTTAATAACGGCAAAGTTTGAGTTGTGGCTCTAGATGTCTCTAAAGCATTTGGTAGGGTTTAGCATACCAGCCTTCTATGTGAGCTTCAGGGATACAGTATTACAGGACAATGATTTAATTAAATCCAATCATTCCTGTCAAACCATGAAATGAAGGTCATCCTAAATGGTTTCTCCTCCAGTTCCTTCCATACAAATACTGGTGTTTCCCAAGGCTCTATCTTGAGTCCTAAACTGTTTGTGATCTTCATCAATGATCTTCCTTTCTATGTTGCTTCAGAAAGTTTTTCTCATCTGAGTCCAGCCTTCAAATCTACCATTTGTCCTTGCATTGAATACGTAGGTTCTCAACAAAATCCAAAGATGAATATGCACTGTGATAGGTCCTGACTTGGCATCTTGACTTCAGTAACTTTCTCACACATAATGTGGCTTCTCTCTGTCTTTTTTACAAATATTTTCATGGCAACTGCTCTGACGAGCTACTTTCATTCTTTTTTCCAACACAAGTACTCCAACTGCCCAAATTTAAGCATGCTACTAGGTTGGCATCTCAGTCCCACCCTTTTACTGTCAAAACATTTAAATGTAACCACCTCTTCTACTCCAACAGCTTCTTTCGCACTTCCCGACAATAGAACTCCCTTCCTCTTACTTGCTTCCCTATAATCTTCAAAAATTTAAATGTAATATTAATCAACACCTTCTGATGCCTTGATCTTGACCCCCTCTCCTTCTCTTTAGCCCTTCCTCAAACACATCTCTTTACTCTTACTTTCACTCTCTGTAACCCCTTGCATTCTAGGGGCACTCCTGCATTGCTTGGGGTGAAATGCTTAAAAAAATATTGAAGAGTAAATTTATTCAATAAAATCATCATTGTCTTCAACCACGGCCTCCAGAGGACTTCAGAATCACCTGCAACTCTTCTGGATAGTCTACATTTTTAAGTTGATGAATGCTGCCATAATCCTTGCCTTCAGTTTATCTTTGGTGTTACAAGGAGTTTTGTTGATCTCTCGCTCAACTGCACCCCCATACATAATAATCAAGGGGGTTGCAGTCTGAGGAGTTAAGTGGTCAGATGTAAGGGGTGAAGTTGTTACAGAAATCGTCTGACAGCCATGACTGGGTTCTCCTGCTTGTGTGGTATAGTGCAGAGTCCTGTTGCCAGACACAGGGTCTTCCAGCAGCCACCCTCTTTAACCAGGGCAGGACTACCTCCTCAAGACACTTGATGTAGGACTCCATGTTGAGTCTAAGACCCTGTGGAAAGATGAATGGAGGTATAACGTTGTCATCACTAGTGATCACGCCAAACACCTTCATAATCATCATTAGACTCCGCCGACTCTTTCAGAATCCTCTGCAGTGTCCTCAGATTGACACCCAAACATGAAATGTTGTATTGGAGCTTCCAGCGCAAATGGCAAGCAATAGAGCATGCGGTTTCCAAATTACTGGCAGAGTGAATTGCATCATGGTGCTCTTTGTCTGACAAATGGTGCCCAACTGACACTATTATACCGTGTAGTCAATAAAATAAAAAATAACACACATTAAGTTGTCAATAAATTGCTCAACATGTCAAAAAACACCAACTTTTTTTTTTTTTTTTAAGTAATATTTGTTTCAATTCAGATTAATTAAACTTTAAATCAGCTATTTTTTCTCAATGGACTGCCCTGTTGCACCCAGTAGAGATTATGAATTACTCTATTTTCCATATAAATCAGGCTTTCTTAGCATTTTAAGTAAATCAAATGCTTTTGTGTGATCTATGAAACATAAGTATAGGTTTTTCTGCATTTATATTGCTTACTCTGATAGAATTTTGATCTTAAAAAGAGCATTTCTTTCCCCAGTATCTCTCACAAAGCCACTCTATTCTTGTTCTGTTTCTGGTCTAATTATGTTGCATGTCTATTCATTAGAATGTTTTGCACTTCTCACCTGTGACACTCTTTTCTTGTTTCTTGCTTTCCTGTCAACAACAATCTTCAAAAATTTAAATACAGCATAAATTGTCTTTTTGAATCTTGGTCTTTTATTATCTTCTGTCAATAACATTTTCTCAGTCTCTTTCATTCTCAGTAACCCTTTGCTTCTTAGTAGAAGACTTCATTTCCTTGCTTGGAATGAAATGACTTTTAAAAAAAGATTCTAATAAATTTATTTATAGGGATCATTAAGATGATTGTCCAGTTGAGTTTGTTTATTTTCTCATGGTTTCTTTGTTATCAATGTGCGGGATCTTAATTTTCTGTTAAAAATGCTTTTGTTCTTATTTGACTTCCTGGTTTTGTCTTGATAGATAAAAATGTGAAGATACATAAGTTGCATGAAATCAACACAAATGAGAGATGTGTGGTCATAGGAACACTCTTCAAACAGATGGAACTTCAGCCTAACATCTTGAAAGAAATTAGTGAAGAGGTAAGATTTCTCTTTCACCACTACCAGAATTTGCCATGTCTCAAAAGTATGTGTATGCATCAAAAATACTTTTACAAACTTTAGGTGTGGATTCCTGACAACAAAACAAAACAAGGTCCATATAAACATATATCCAAAAGGCCATGTAGAATGTGTTCTTTGTGGTCAGGCATACAAGTCGATCTTTGTCTTTCTCAGTCCATAGTTTGTGGTGCCATGGATCCCCTCGCAGCAACACAGTGATAAACATCAGTAAATGTTGGCTGATGTGAATGCCATCGGTCTGGAAATACAATCTGTTAAAGCCATGCAGCCATTACCATTCATGTGGCCGTATGTAAAAATCAAATCTGTCTGCACATGATATGAATATCCTGCGAATGTTAAACAAAACATCTCTCGATTAACTCCCTACCATACATATTAAACATTGAAGACAAACTAGCCACAAATGTACATGAATGACAGTAAAAAAAAAAAAGTCTTCCCTATCAACCACTTCTATTAATTTTCTTGGCTATACTATATCTCATGGGATACTTAAACCTGATGCTGACCAACTACACCCACTTAAAGAATTACCTATCCCTAAAGATAAAGCTGCCCTTCACAGGGTCATTGGTTTTTGTTTTCTTATTATTCCCAATGGATATCAAATTTTTTGGATAAGATCAAACCCTTAATTATGACCAACACATTCCCTTTAAATCACAAGTCGTGGAAGCATGCTGAAAGCTTAAAGAAATCAAAAGTGCCTTACTTATTGAAGAAAACATCCTCCTAGTGGTCAAGATGGATTCTTCTGATATGACAATTACCACTGCTTTGAATCAGGCTGGCCATCCCATGACTTTTCTTCTCCTGATCACTGACGCCAATTGAATGAAAGTATGTTTCAGCAGGAAAGGAGGCTTCAGCTATTATAGAAGCTGTAAAAAAGATCGTCTTACTACTTATCTGGTCAACATTTTACCCTCGTTACAGACCAACAGGCAGTGAACTTCATGTTTAATACTGAGAGACCTGGAAAAATTAAAAAGGATAAAATCCAGAGATGGAGCATGGAACTAGGAAACTATTATGAAATTACTTGTAGACCAGGGAAGGATAATATGCCTGCTGATAAACTCTCACAGTCTCATTGTGGGGGCTATCCTACACAAAAAAAGTTATATGAGCCACACAATCGTCTTTGTCCCCCTTCATAACTAGGTTAGCCCACTTTGTCAAAGTCAGAAATCTACCTTACTCTATGGAAGGTGAAAAAAAAAAAAATAATGTGCTGACTGTTCCATTTGTGCAAGATGGAAACCATGTTTCTACAAACCTGAAAAAATTTAACTGATAAAAGGCTAAACAAACAATGGAAAAATCAGCGTGGATTTTGAAGGACCTCTTCCTTCTAACCCTCAGAACCATTATATGTTAACGGTAATAGGCGAGTACTCTCGGTTTCCTTTTACTTTTCCCAATATGACGACTAGTGTATTAATTAAATGGTTAACTCCTATTTTCACTATGTTTGGGATTCCTTCCTTCATCCACTCTAACCAGGGTTTCTCTTTTCTATCTAAGGAACTGCGTGAGTACCTCACTATTTTTGAGTATAGCTACAAATCAAACAACCCCAAAGGAAATGGTCAATATGAACGATGCAATGGAATTATCTGGGGGCACGTCACATTGGCCTTGGCTGTAAGAAATCTATGAGAATCTTAGTGGGAAGTGGTTCTTCCTGCAGTACTGCATACCATAAGAACCACAATGAACACTACACCCCATGAAAGAATATTTTCGTATCAATGCTGGTCACCTAGCGATCATTCCTTGCCCATTTGGCTAGCAGCCCCTGGTCCAGTTCTCTTATGTTGTAATGTCTGCACTAATAAGTACAAACTTTTAGTTCACCTGTTAGAAGACAATCCCCAATATGCCCATATAAGATTTAATATTGAACATGTCTACTGAATCTGTGCATGATTTGGCTCCCGTTGGGAACAAATACAATTGGGGAGAACCAAAAATTAGAGAACAAGATACTCTTGTGGAAAAGAGCATTACAGAAGTCGTGGAACCTGAGTCTTCCATTCTAAACCACTGAGTAAACCCTGGTGCCCTCTGACTCTGAGGATCAACATTTTACTCTGATTCGTGAAGATTCAGTGACACTAAAATAATCTTCCAGAAATTAAAGTAAACTAGTACAATATTCGGAACTTGAAAAAATAAACATAGAAAATTATTACAAAAGAAAGTGTCGGGGAGAGAATGTCATAAGCATTAACTTCTCTCGATTTGGACTCTTCCGGAATTATCTACCTTTTTGCTTTTCTATATATACCTATCCTTTTTGCTTTTCTATATATACCTATCCTTTTTGCTTTTCTATATATACCTATCCTTTTTGCTTTTCTATGTATACATATTCACCTTTTCTTGTATTCTATGTATTCATATTCACCTTTTCTTGTATTCTATGTATTCATATTCACCTTTTCTTGTATTCTATGTATTCATATTCACCTTTTCTTGTATTCTATGTATTCATATTCACCTTTTTCTTGTATTCTATGTATTCATATTCACCTTTTCTTGTATTCTATGTATTCATATTCACCTTTTCTTGTATTCTATGTATTCATATTCACCTTTTCTTGTATTCTATGTATTCATATTCACCTTTTCTTGTATTCTATGTATTCATATTCACCTTTTCTTGTATTCTATGTATTCATATTCACCTTTTCTTGTATTCTATGTATTCATATTCACCTTTTCTTGTATTCTATGTATTCATATTCACCTTTTCTTGTATTCTATGTATTCATATTCACCTTTTCTTGTATTCTATGTATTCATATTCACCTTTTCTTGTATTCTATGTATTCATATTCACCTTTTCTTGTATTCTATGTATTCATATTCACCTTTTCTTGTATTCTATGTATTCATATTCACCTTTTCTTGTATTCTATGTATTCATATTCACCTTTTCTTGTATTCTATGTATTCATATTCACCTTTTCTTGTATTCTATGTATTCATATTCACCTTTTTCTTGTATTCTATGTATTCATATTCACCTTTTCTTGTATTCTATGTATTCATATTCACCTTTTCTTGTATTCTATGTATTCATATTCACCTTTTCTTGTATTCTATGTATTCATATTCACCTTTTCTTGTATTCTATGTATTCATATTCACCTTTTCTTGTATTCTATGTATTCATATTCACCTTTTCTTGTATTCTATGTATTCATATTCACCTTTTCTTGTATTCTATGTATTCATATTCACCTTTTCTTGTATTCTATGTATTCATATTCACCTTTTCTTGTATTCTATGTATTCATATTCACCTTTTCTTGTATTCTATGTATTCATATTCACCTTTTCTTGTATTCTATGTATTCATATTCACCTTTTCTTGTATTCTATGTATTCATATTCACCTTTTCTTGTATTCTATGTATTCATATTCACCTTTTCTTGTATTCTATGTATTCATATTCACCTTTTCTTGTATTCTATGTATTCATATTCACCTTTTCTTGTATTCTATGTATTCATATTCACCTTTTCTTGTATTCTATGTATTCATATTCACCTTTTCTTGTATTCTATGTATTCATATTCACCTTTTCTTGTATTCTATGTATTCATATTCACCTTTTCTTGTATTCTATGTATTCATATTCACCTTTTCTTGTATTCTATGTATTCATATTCACCTTTTCTTGTATTCTATGTATTCATATTCACCTTTTCTTGTATTCTATGTATTCATATTCACCTTTTCTTGTATTCTATGTATTCATATTCACCTTTTCTTGTATTCTATGTATTCATATTCACCTTTTCTTGTATTCTATGTATTCATATTCACCTTTTCTTGTATTCTATGTATTCATATTCACCTTTTCTTGTATTCTATGTATTCATATTCACCTTTTCTTGTATTCTATGTATTCATATTCACCTTTTCTTGTATTCTATGTATTCATATTCACCTTTTCTTGTATTCTATGTATTCATATTCACCTTTTCTTGTATTCTATGTATTCATATTCACCTTTTCTTGTATTCTATGTATTCATATTCACCTTTTCTTGTATTCTATGTATTCATATTCACCTTTTCTTGTATTCTATGTATTCATATTCACCTTTTCTTGTATTCTATGTATTCATATTCACCTTTTCTTGTATTCTATGTATTCATATTCACCTTTTCTTGTATTCTATGTATTCATATTCACCTTTTCTTGTATTCTATGTATTCATATTCACCTTTTCTTGTATTCTATGTATTCATATTCACCTTTTCTTGTATTCTATGTATTCATATTCACCTTTTCTTGTATTCTATGTATTCATATTCACCTTTTCTTGTATTCTATGTATTCATATTCACCTTTTCTTGTATTCTATGTATTCATATTCACCTTTTCTTGTATTCTATGTATTCATATTCACCTTTTCTTGTATTCTATGTATTCATATTCACCTTTTCTTGTATTCTATGTATTCATATTCACCTTTTCTTGTATTCTATGTATTCATATTCACCTTTTCTTGTATTCTATGTATTCATATTCACCTTTTCTTGTATTCTATGTATTCATATTCACCTTTTCTTGTATTCTATGTATTCATATTCACCTTTTTTCTTGTATTCTATGTATTCATATTCACCTTTTTGTATTCTATGTATTCATATTCACCTTTTCTTGTATTCTATGTATTCATATTCACCTTTTCTTGTATTCTATGTATTCATATTCACCTTTTCTTGTATTCTATGTATTCATATTCACCTTTTCTTGTATTCTATGTATTCATATTCACCTTTTCTTGTATTCTATGTATTCATATTCACCTTTTCTTGTATTCTATGTATTCATATTCACCTTTTCTTGTATTCTATGTATTCATATTCACCTTTTCTTGTATTCTATGTATTCATATTCACCTTTTCTTGTATTCTATGTATTCATATTCACCTTTTCTTGTATTCTATGTATTCATATTCACCTTTTCTTGTATTCTATGTATTCATATTCACCTTTTCTTGTATTCTATGTATTCATATTCACCTTTTCTTGTATTCTATGTATTCATATTCACCTTTTCTTGTATTCTATGTATTCATATTCACCTTTTCTTGTATTCTATGTATTCATATTCACCTTTTCTTGTATTCTATGTATTCATATTCACCTTTTCTTGTATTCTATGTATTCATATTTGTTCTTAGCCCCATCATAGACTACTCTGTTTATTAAAGCCTTCGTCAAGGTACTTCTTTAGTTCTCTTTCTTATTACAGGCTACCTGCTTTGATAATCCCAACCAAAGTCGAGTAATCTTCCCCACTTTTCTTCTTATGGTTTAAACATTGCCATTGTGTGTTGAAAAGAGAAAAATTTTTTTTTTTTTTTTTTTTTTTTTTTTTTTACCAGAATTAAGAGTTTTCTCGAAAGACACTTTGCCAGGCTTTCTTGGAAGTATGTAATTCACATACTTTTAGTGTTCAATTGGACCAAATTTTCAAAGCAAGTGATGTATTATCTTTTTGCCCGACCATATAGCACAATCTTTTTGAAAGACCTCTTTATAATAATGAAAATATGCCATAAAAGTTATCTCCTTCTCGGGACTGTACTCAGGTTGAGTAGTCGCCAAAGGATTTCTTGGCATATGACTAACAATAATTTTTACTCAAATCCTCATTTCTTTTTCTTTTTTTTTTTTTTTTTTTTTTATTAGCATTCAAATCCCTCATTACCAAATGTTGCATCATGAAATGAAATGGATATGTCAATACACATAGAAAGTAGTAGTAATTTATTTCAAAGAATAATACGGTGCTAACAGTAGAGAACACAGTCTACTAGAATAACAGTTAATCATGAACTAAACCTCAGTTCTGTTCAACTTCACTCTCTCAGTAAAAGAGAGCATGCTGTTGATCTTTTTAGACCAGTCCATCTTGTGGGGGTTCCGGTACCCTACAACAGTAATAATACCCCATTTTCAGAAATTCATTCATTCAAATTTTTTTTTCTCCTCAGCATAATCTGATGCCTCAACCTGTAAATACCAAATTCACAAGTGATTCTGACCAATTGATCCTTGAAGATGAGCTGCAACGGATTCAACTGCAAGGGAAATTAGATGTGCATGATTGCTGTACAGGTCGGTCAATTTTTAAATAAAGGTTAAAGAAAAATTTGATTTTGCTATTTACATATCACTCTGAAATTCTAGAGAGGCAAACACCCTAAACTTGCCTTTATCCCACATGATTGTACTTTGCTCAAAATGTTTTCGCTTAGTATTTATGTTTATTTAATAAGAAGCTTATGGCCATATCACATTGAAACATCTGTTCTTGTCCAATCACTGAAGCTAAGCAACATTGAGCCTGATCAATACCTAGATGGGTGACCGTTTAAGAGTACTATGTGTGTTATGCTTGAATGTAATAGGTAATGGCTCATAGTGAGAAACTGAAGAGCTGGGTTCGAGTTCCAGTCAAGTTCAATAGTAGCAAGATGCTCGCAACATTTTGTCTGTGTGGAAAAAGGTTGTAGGGTGGTAAGTAACTCATTACCCACACGCCTATATTACTCATGATTTGTGCAAATATTAGCCTTTTTCAATGTTACTGTTTGAAATTGTTATAATGTGAAAAAGAAAAAATTGACATTCTTTATCTTTTTTTTTCTTTTTTTTTTTCTTTTTTTTTTTTCTTTCCAAAACAAGATTAATTACATTTCTTCTCGAAATCTCAAAAAAAATCTGACAAAATTAACAATTGCATTGAAGATTAGTAAGATTTATTCCAATTGTTTTATTACTATTTCCGTCCCATAATAATTGGTACATTTGCATATACATTTCACACACTAAATGTAACACCTATTATAGGAAAAAGTTAGTATATTGTTCTATTACCAAATATATTAAAAGCAATTAATATAAATTGTAATTAGTTGCACTTGGAACCCTGGCACACCATTTTTAGAAAATTAAAAGTCAAACATCCAGGTTAAATCTTTTAGAAAACTTTGTAAACTTTGATTTATGCTTTAGATCAGTGCTGCTTAAAATATTTTCATTCCTGACCCCATTTTTCATCAAGATTTTTCGTGACCCCAGGTATTAATCAAGTACACTGAAAATACATACATTGTCACTGCACTAGTTGCAACAGCACTGCACATGCATTTTATTACCACAGCACATATGTGGCAGATTACATTAAATACTATGTGTTTTTGAAATAACAAATTGAAATTCAAGTCTGAGTTTAATTTTCACAACCTCAGCATTTAGCTTTGTGACCCCATTTGGGGTCATGACCCATAGTTTAAGAAGCACTGCTTTAGATGGTTTGGAGGAGTTGAAATTGCCTCTTCCTTGTTTAATTTGAAAACATTTTATTAAGTGGAGGGTGGGTATCAATCTAAATGTAATGTTTCTCGGTAAAGGAAGGAAGTTGGTTTGTAAGTTTTAAGACTGTCAAGAAGTGTAAAAAAGTGTTCCTTTTTCTTTTCTTTTTTTAAGTGAGGACAGTATCTTTTGTAACTGTTTTGTCTTTATTACAGGATTTATTATTGCTGTTTATGGTATTGAGAAAGAAGAGAGCCCTGGGAAATTTTATGTAGAAGATTACTGTGTCCAAGAGCTCCCTCCACAGATAGCTCGACCTGTCTTAGAACAAGAAAGGTAATATTGAAAGAAGAGAAATTTTTACTTATTTGTGGTGTTTAGTACACGGGTTTAGCCATGTCTTTTTTTTTTCTTTCTTTTTTCCTTTCTTTTTTCCTTTCTTTTTTTTTTTTTTTTTTTTTTTATTAAATGGAGTGGGGTAATGATTTCACCCAAGGAAAGCAAATCCACTGAAATGCAAGGGCTTTGGTACCAAGAGTGAAGGAAACTGAGAAAACAGTACTGAGGTGAAAGGACAATAAAAAGAACAGGGTTCAAGGAGACTGATGACTATTGATGTTACATTTAAATTATCTGTAAAACATCCAGGACAAAGACTAACCAACCTCCCCTCATTTCTTTTCCTTCTTTCTTTTATCCTTTTTTGTTTGTTCCAAATTGCATTCTAACCATTAATTTCCAATACTAAACAATTCAGCATAGAACTTACGGTTATACTTAGCAATTTCAACAGTAAGGGGTGAATGAGGAAAGGACAATAAAAAGAACGGGATTCAAAACAATGATTGACATTGCATTTAAATTATCTGTAAAACATCAAGGACAAAGAATAACCAACCTCACTTCGTTTGTTTGTTTGTTTTTTGCTTTTTTTGTTTTGTTTTTTGTTGTTTTTTTTTCCCCTAAAAAAAATTACATTCCAACTTTTGATTTCCAGTACTAAACAATTTCTGTATTAAATGGGTCCCTTGTGTGTTGATATACTAACAAACCATTCAAGTTGAACTAAAACATACTTTTGACCTGTGCTTACAGACATATCACATTGAAACATCGTTTCCTGTACAATTACTGAAGCTGAATAACATTGAACCTGGTCAGTAGCTTGGAAATACTAGTTGCTGTTAGCTTGGATGTGAGGGTGGTGTAATGGATAATGGCTCAGAATTGTTAATCAGAGCAGAGTTTTAATTCCCATTCAGTTTTTTAACCCTCTTGGTACTACTGGTTATAAGATATATTTTTAGAAATCTCCAACTTTGTAAAAGTTACAAATTTACAAAAAATTTGTAGATTTCCAGCACCTGCAGTTGATGATGTAACAGGTGTTAATGCTGTGTAATTGAAATACTATGCTATCTGATTGTGGGCACGTTCAGGCACTCCTAGACCATAAGCTTGCTTAAAGGGTTAAACTTATATTGCATGCTTTGATACATAATCCCTTTAAACCAAACTTGGGCTCATTTCTTTCTGTCAGGATACATTCTTTTTGTTATTAGAATTAAGTGTGTGTTTCTGATTTTAATTTTACTCATTAGTTTTAACTTTGGTAAGTTTTTCAAAAAATATTGACAGATTTTTTTTTTTTTTTTTTTTTTCCACTAACAGATATGTGGCCATATTGTGTGGCTTGGAAATTGGCAGCAAGACAGAAAAACTGTTTGAACTGCAAATGGCATTAGATATTTTGTCTGGAATGCTTGGAAGTGAAGATCAACAAGAGAATTCAGCTCAGATTGTTAGAGTTATTGTGGCTGGAAATTCCCTGAGTCATAATACACAAGACAAAGATTCTATTAGTAAGGTGTGGGAAATTTTCATTTGTCTTTTTCTCTTGCCTTTTTTATTTCAGTTGGAGTCACAAATTGAAAGTATCCTTAAAAAAAAGAGATTTAAAAGAAAATTTAGTTTTCCTCCAATGAATTGGCCAAATTATCCAGAGATACTTATGTATAGAAGTACAGTAATCCCTCATTTATCACGGTAGATTGGTTCCAAGACCGACCACAATAACTGAATTTCCGCAAAATAGGGACACCATATTTACAGTATTTATTTAACATGTATTTGGACTTTTTAAACCCTCCCTGTACTGTTAACAACCCACCCATTACAGTACTCTATTAATAACAGGGACAACTGTTAAGAAATAACACTTTAGATTAAAAAGAAAAAAGATTGTTACTGTATTCAACACGAAAGAAGTTGAAGTAGAATTTGAATGATAATGGTGATGAATTTGCTGCACAGTAGAAATGGTGATGATGATGATGACCTCTACTGTGCAGCCAGTTATTGTATTTTATGTCTCTTCGGACGGCGGTGCCCTTTCTATTGCTATTTTACGCTTGTTTTGTTGTTCCTAGACCAGGAAATAATATTTAGTATTAATATTTTAATGGGTTTAATGAAAAATTTTAGGGGTTCATATATTGCGATGTTTCTAGAATTTTCCAGAAACTCCGCAATATATTTTCCATATATATATTTCAAAAATCCATGAAGTCGTGAATTCACAATAGTAGAACCGCAAGTTAGCGAGGGATCATTGTAATCTCTGAATTATCTGAAGAGATTTTTTTGTTCCCAAACCTTTCAGCTGACCAGTCTTATTAACCTCTTCAGATGTATTCTTTCAGTGTCTGTGTGCCATCTCCTTTATGAATGTAGGTAATCATCTCTCCCCACCACTTCCTGTCTTGTTGCTGTAAATAATTTTGCTCCCCCCCACACACACGCTTCTCTTGACTTAAATATGCTCTGTGAGCATTAAATTTACTAAGCTCTCTTTCCATTTTGTGTTTCCAAAACTTCAGCTGCCTCTTTCTGATTATGAGCAACAGTTTCTTTGTATCATCCTTCAAACTACGACAATTTATAATCAGATGTACTATCCTTATAAAAAGAAGCTTTCTCTCTCTATTAAAAAAAAAAAAATTATGGAACAAGCTGTACTGCATGTGTTATTGAAAATAGAATAAGTTATTTTACAATCAATGCTGTTAATGTTTAGAGTTTCTGCTTGCATTGCTCTACCAAAAAAAAAAAACTTTTACACCTGAAGAAGACTGTAGAATGAATCTGAAAAATATGAACAACATAAAATGAGTTAAATTATTATATGCTTTGCTATTCAGATGCACATTTTGGCTATTGTACTCTCTGGCCTTCAGATGGTTGTCTTCATACTCAATAATCTTGGAATATCAAACTGAGCACTTTATTCAATTTATATGATTAGATAGTTCCAATACTGCTTTTTCATACTTAGGAAAGATAACTTGTATCAGTTAGGGGAGTTGACTCATTTTCACTTTTTGTTTGACTCTTCTGCTGAGCTAAAATAAGTGACTTTCAGCACCAGATCCAGGGATTGTCAAAAAGGCATATGGTCTAGTGGATTAAAGGGTATCTTTTTACCTGGTTGTTGTGAGTTCAATCCCTGTTTCTGATATTTCTGAAAAGTCACACAATTGTTCTATTTTTATTACTAGTTATTATTAATCTTTTATTTTGCCTAATTTATAAATTAAACTTTCTCAAAGATAGCTATGATTTCGAGCATGCAGATAGAGGTATGGAGGGGGCCTGGGGGGTGATAAGAGGAGTCTGCTATAAATAGAATTGATGTTAAAATTTTAAGTTAATGTTTAGAGCCAGTTTTATAAATAAAGTATTTATATGTTCAGTCAGTTACGTGCCACAGTTGACACACACTTGGGTGATAATGTATCTTTCGGTACATGACTGAAGAGGCAGGAGATATTTCCCACAATAGGTTGCTATTTCTTTGTGGTAGACTGGTTGCCAGCCAAGGCTAAAGAACCCAGTTTGCCCTACTATTCAACCCATAGCTGGGGGGAGAAGAGATATATTCATACCTTTCCAAAGAGTGTTTGTACATAAGTGAATATAACAAACTCAACTGGAATTCAAACTCAGTTCTTATTCAGAGTCGATATCTATTACTCCACAAAGGGAAAACAAATACTTCATCAGATTCTGGGTCTAGACAGTTTGGTAAGAATCACTGTAATTTGGAAAGGTACTGATACACAGAGGGGTCATGGTGAGTGAAAGATTGGGAAGATTTGACTGGGGAGAAATGAGGGGAAAAAAGAAATCAATAACAGAACAGGAAGATAGAAGATGGCAATTGAATTTGCATTTAAATTATTGAAGATTGTAGGTGGCAGGGAAACAAGAAATTGGGAGTTCCACAGGTGAGAAGTACAGGAAAAGAAATAATGGTTGCATCTAGCTAATTCAACAGTAAAGCAGTGAGACCTAGCAGCCAATCTTGTAGTATGCTTAAATTCATATAGTCGAGGTACTTAGGATAACAGTCCCTTGGGACGATTACCATAAAAATATCTAGGAAAGACAGAGAGAAACTACATGTTTGCCTTACTGGAGAGTATGTCCTGCTTTTTGTGAATTTATTCGGATTTTATTTATTTCCAGGCTAAATATTTGACCAAGAATGTTGCAGCTCGAAGTGTTGAGGCCATGAAAAGTTTAGATGACATCTTAGTGCAGCTGGTTGTAAGTTGCATATTTTTGCATACATTAAAAGTTGTTTACTATAAACATTAAAATAGGCCTTGCGAAAAAAATAAATGTTTGGAAAAAGTATTTACTCTGAATTATGCTTGTGTTTTAAAATAATTTTTTTTGCAAATTTGGACCTTCATGCATGCAAAAAAAAAAAGGTGTCAAAAGGATACTTGATACGGCTATTGTTTTAACTACCTTCACTGTTTGGCAATGTTTATTACTTTAAAAAGCAATTTAATAACGTCTAAATATGATGAAAGTGAATTTACAATAAAAATATTAAACATTTATTACATTGTATTTTACAAGAATAATCTATATTTAGAACTTTGTTAAAACTAATGCAATATTTATCATTTAGCAATTTATAAAGAAATAAATATAGAAACAACTTTCATTTACAAAATTATTAAAATATGTGAATCAGCTATAAGGAAATGTTTATTTACTGTAGAGTTTGGTAATAGCAACACACAGTACTCAACTGTAATTGAAGTCTGGCTGCTGGGCAAGTTGGTAGGTGGTTTATATAACAGCCTGGGAGATTCCACTTTGTTACCTAGGCAAGTCTATTCTGTAGGTTTTGATTGGCTGATGATTCCAGTGTGGATATTGTGCTCACTAAATATCCAGCACAATATCCACACTGTGACTTTATTGAGTTAGAGCTCTGTTTATTTTTGTCAGTCAAATGGACGCTAATTGAAAATGCCCTTGCGAAGTTGAGTCTCACACTCTTGATTGTTCATTTACCATTTAATAAAGTTCACGTCAATTGGAAATTAGCTGATGTTTTGCCAGACATTCCAATAAACAATCTTAATAAATAGTGTTTACTATTTTGTTAATTCTCAAGAACAAAAAATATATATCCATTCACTTCTCATCATCACTTTTTAAAACAAACATTGTTGAGAAGAGGAGGTAGTTAAAATAATAGCAGTGTCAAAGAAAAATCCATCCTTTTGACACTGTTTTTTGATTGCCAGATTAAAGAGGTTGGTCTGTATATATGTATATTATGTATTTTCATATATTATCAATCAGCACAATAACATAGTAGGCTTTTATCAAAGGTCTTACAGCCATATATCCAGCCATTTTCTAAAAATGGTGATTGTAAATTAAAAAAAAAATTAAAAAAAAAAAAAAAACTGTTGACTGTGAGGGTCACCACTTCCAAGAATTCTTTTTATATAATTTAAAAATCAGGTATATATATAAAAAAAAAAAAAAAAAAATCAGTTACCAGCACCCATAGAAAATTTTTAAAAAAAATAAAAAATAGAAGGTAGAAACATTAGATTAAAAAAAAGAATAAAATAAAAATTGAATAATACAAAAGGTGGGGGGAATTCTTTTTAATTCTTAAATCCAAACTGAATCTTTTTAAAATATTATAGGGATTATAAAACAAGTAATTTTTAGAAATCTAAATTGGTTTCTTAATTTTTGTTTAAGATTCCATTCCCTTTTCTCTCTCTCTCTCCCCCCAACCACCAAGTTATCTTCTTGGTTTTATACTGTATACTAATCTTTTTTTTATATTTTTATCTTATTTATTTTCATATCATTTTTTTTTTTCATTCTTCTGTTTTTGTTAATTTTATTTTTACAATTTGTTTGTTTTTTTTTTTAAATCTCTTTTAGCTTTCTGATTTTTTTTTTAAATCTCTTTTAGCTTTCTGATTTTTTTTTATTTTATTTTTTTTAAATCTTTTAGTTTTTTTTTCTTCTAATTTTCCTTTAAAAAAATTAACTTTTTCTAGAAAATGGGGCCCAGCCTCTTTCCAGCACATTCTAAATAAAAATATAAAATGCTGACTAAATAAAAAATGGAAATTGACTCTGATGGTCGTCACTTCCAGAACAGGTGAAAATTGGAGTACTTTTTCACTGAAACTGTGTTCACCTAATTTGCCAAGAGACTGACTTTTTTTAAGGAATTTAATGTCAACAGATCCTACCAGTAGAAACCTGCTAGCATATACAGCAAGCTAGCAGAGTGACTGCGATGAATACAATGAAAGTGCCAGAAACATGAGCTACGATTTGGTGATGCTGATTACTAAATACTGCAAACCTTTTGTTGAAGGTGAATTTTATCAAATACTGTGTTATGAAAATAGTGAATATCTGTCCCGAGAATGAACAAGAGTTTACCAATGTTTGCTTGGCTCATAACACTGTAGCACGAAAATATTGGAGATATCAGATATTAAGAAACAGTTGGCAGCCAGAGGTGTGAATTTTTTTACTTTTTTTATGTCTGACACTGTTCACTTGCTGATATTTTTTTTTTAGAGAGTGGGTGTGTAGATGATGAAATGAACATGACTGAAAAGCTACTTGACCTCCAGGGTCTTAAGAACCAAACAAGAGGAATGGATTTATTTGGTTCTGTTAGGAATTGTATTTCACTACTAAAGGATAACAAAAAAAAATTGAAAAGGAATGATAACAGAAGCAATTGTCATATTCAAGTGAAAGTGTTATTTAATCATCTTTGGACATCAATTCCATAAATTGTTTTACAAAATTAATTTTGATTCGAAAATCTCAACTGGACAGATATGTACACATACACACATTTACAAATAGAAATGTCTGTTGATGCATTGAGTAGTATTTGATCTATATTTTAAAATGCCACAATCTCCTCCCCACACAGTGGTTAGTCTTTGTTATTTGTTTATTCACCTTGTCAAACACCTTCAGTTACTTGCAATTTTTTAAATGATTTTGGCTTCTCATCTAAAAACTAATGTACCTGTGCTATCATAAATTATGACAATTGTTAGAAAATTATAATACTGAGCTGCAATGAAATCATGTTTATTTACAGGTAAAATCATGTTTATTTACAGGTAAAATATAAGCTAATAAACCTTTTTAATTAATCTTTCTTTACTAATAGGTTTCTTAACAAGATTTTTCATCATATTACATAATGAACATTCAGAATTCATAATCTATCAGAAACTAATTTTTGTCTAAATGCAGATAAATATTCTATTTGTATCGATTATTAAAATGACCAAGGGAAGTAACCCCTTGTAAATTCTCTACTTTAGAGCGTGACTTGAAAGATATAAATAAATACACAACACTAATTATTATACAGTGTTGAGGTTCATTCGTCTAAGTCATAAATTGTTTGATAGTTTAACAAAAAAGAGGAATTTTCTTTTTTATGCTTACATGTTTCATTTATTAACGTTTAAAAAAGCAGTCAAAAATATAAACTTGTTTGTTTATTATTACTTACTAGAAAGACACATGAAAATTTAATGGCTATCCTATTTGAATTTTCTGATGAATCTTAATTCTTAAGTTAATGATTGAATAAGCTCATGGCAAGTTTTATGATAATAAAATATCTGTAGAAATTCCCTTATAACATAATTTAATATTTGAGCTTAACAACTTTAACAAAATATTGTAATAAGAATCATAAATATGAATTCTGGTCATTATTTTAAGAAGTGGGTACAAATGAAAAGATTTGAAATTGACAACTTTCCCATTTCACTGAAACAGCCATCAAACATTTTCTTCCTTTACTTTCTTTCTTTTTTGACTGAAATCAAGTAGTATTTTTGATATGTCTTTTTGTCATCTTACTGATCAAAACTGAATAGTCCTTTATCAATTATTTGCAGAAGGCGTTAAACATTTTATCTTCCCTTCTTTTTTTTTTCTCTCACTGAAACCAAGTAGTGTCTTTCCTTTCTTTCTATGCAATCAAAACTGAGTAGTCTAATATTTATGAGGTATTGGTAGGGGTGTAACAGTTATGCAAACTAAGGAATTAGCAAAGGAAGGGACAAGCACAATATCATATTTTATCCTTCATTCATCCTTACACTTTCATAGTGAGTTACGTCCCTTGATCTTTATACAATTTTTTTTTTTCCATTTATTCTTTTTGTAATAAAGCTAACACTACTCTTAGCATTAAAAAAAATATTTTTTGAAACAATCCTTAATAAATTCAACATGCCATTCTTTTACCAAAGTTAAGTTTCTGATATAAAACAACTTGGAAAAATGGTGACCTGATGTAATAAACAGTTTTAAAATAAGTTAAAAGTACCTTCTCTCCCCACCCACAAAATATACTTAATCAATATTTCATTATTATGTACTGATTTGCTCAGACTAGTGCCCTCATTTTGATTATTGTAGTCATAACATTTTTACAAAGCATATGGTGTAGTAGGTAAAGGTATTAAACAGGTCAAGTGTGAGGAGGTGGGGGGGGGCATATATTCAATTTCTGTGTCAGGTAGTGTTAAAAGAAAAAAGTTAAATATAATGGTTCAGTGGAAGAGACAAGTGACATCACAAGAACAATTTTTCTTTTTCCTTTTGTAGTAACATTACCTACCTACCTACTACTGACTGGCCTACCTACATGGTTTTTAAGAGTTAATTTTATCATTTATAAAAATATGTTACATAGATTAAAGTAGATAAAGGCAAAATTGTTAAAAATGGTTGTTCTCTCTTTTTTTTTTTTTTTTTTTTTCCTCCAGTCAAGTGTTAATGTTGATGTTATGCCCGGAGAGTTTGATCCTGCCAATTACATAATGCCTCAGCAACCATTCCACCACTGTATGTTTCCAAAAGCAGGCACCTATCAGACATTGCAGTGTGTACCCAACCCTTATGACTGCAATATTGACGGAGTTCGGTTTGTGTTATTTTTTTTATTTTTTTTCCTCTCTCTCATGTTAGACTGATGGTAGTAGGTAGAGGTGGGTGGCTAGTGGCAGTATTTTTTAAGTTTTTTTTTTTTAACCATTTATATCTGTTTTCTACGGTAAGACAAAATGGCTGTCTGATGGCATAATGGTTAATGGATTCATCTTGCCCACTGCCCCCCCCCCCCCGAAAAAATGTGTCAAAAGGATAGTTATACCCTTAACATCAGTATTACTGTATACACTTTTGACACCTACAGCAATATTTATTTACAAGATTCAAAAGATGTAAGCCAAGTACAATGCAAGATTTTTATAAAAAGATGTAAACCAAGTACAATGCAAGATTTTTAAAATTTTAATCATCACTTTTTAAATCGATGAACATTGCTGAGGGAGTAATAGCAGTGTTGAGGGAATAACCATCCTTTTGACATGCTTTTTGTGGGGTGGACACAAAGGAAAAACAGTGCCAAAAAGATAATCTCATAAACAATAAGAGCTGCACTGACTGTTGACCTTTTCATTTTTGAATTTATCATTTGTTATCATTAGTTGCCTTAATAATTGGGACCAGCATATTTATCTTCATTGCTATGCTTCCAATGTTTCAAACATTCTACCTTATGACCTGTCATACTTGGTAGCTTTAGGGACAGATGACAGTGCTGAAGAGTCGCATGATCTGGTTTAATGGAAGAAACTGCCAAGTGACACAAAAGCGAAATAGATTATACAGAGCATTAATTGATAAGGGTTATCTCCACTAAGTTTGAAAAGCAGAATACAAACAGTCGATCCCTATGGATTGAATGAAGGATTCAGTTCAAGATCCAAAGCATGTTACCAAGTACATTGACAAGATTTGAAGAAGGTAAAACAGCCATGAGATGAAAGTGCTGATAAGTTCTTTGCCCAACCAAGGCATTCATAAATATCTTCAGATTTGCCATTTCCCATCCAACAAATACTAACCTCTAACAAATACTCAACCATTTTTTAATCTTGCGGAATTTAGTTCGACATGTTGTTTTTTTGTTGTTGTTTTTTTAAAGTTTCCCAAAATTGCTTTAAATAAATATTTCACCTGTACTTTATAAATAGATGGAGACATTCAGAATTAACAAGAAACATTTTCTGTATGTTTACCCTCTTATGGAAAAAAATTTTTTTTTCTTTCAGATTTTTAGTGACCAGTGGTCAACCTCAGGATGACATTGCCAAATACAGCCGAATGGAAGATCGATTGGAAATTCTAGAGAGAACTCTAGAATGGGGACATTTAGCACCAACTGCTCCAGATACATTAGGTTTGCTTCTGCCTGAAATAATTTTTAAATAATTTATAATCTAACATTTTTCTTTTGTTTTCAGTAGCTGTTACACAAATTCAGCATAACATGTAATGAATGACTTCTCTCTATATGTTCAATGGTGTGTGGGGGGGGGTCAAATTTTGTAGCAACATTTTCAGGCAAATTAGCATTGAGGTGTTTACAAATATCTCTCTTGAGTTTTCATGTAACCTGATTCTGTTCAAAGTCCATTTCATTGTTGTACACTGCTTTTCCCCAATGGCAGCCTTTTGTGTGTGATTAGTGTGCACACAATTCAATACCAAATGGCAAGTTTTTCATGTGTGAATGCAATCTTCAGACCATGTCATGTAAGTTGGATAGTAACTTGATAATTTATATATGTTAATCATGGGTGGGGTATTATGAATGTCAAGGTCATATATTCCCAGTTTGTTACTCTAATGACTATTGGGAGGGGGGCGATTATTTTAAATTATTCTAAATACTTTTGATTACAACTAATTAGAGGCTGAAAGGTGGTTATTTTTTAGTTGTTGTATACAATTGTTTATTAATATTTAAATCACTTTTATTTATTACTCCAGTATATTTTGTATTTATTTATTTATTATTCAATACGGATTATTATTTAATTTATAAGTTGTAGGTATTTGTTATCTTACAGTTTAAGTCCTGGGTATGATGATAAACTACATCCAACAGCAAGGCCTCTAATTGGAGTTTTTGAGGGGCATGGAACCACCTCTCAATTGTTGTTGTTCCCAGGCACTATGACTGTATAAAAATACATTTTATAGCAAAATGATCGACAATACATTTTATTAGTAGTATGCATACAATTCCATTCAAAATATATTTACTTGAAGCCATAAAATTGTTCCAAATGTTTAGATTTTGGCATGCTGCTAAACAAAATCAACCAACATCTTACAGTTTGTTTATTATTTCCTTTATTTTGTAGGGTTATCTAATTTTTGTTTATAAGTATATTACGTTATCTGCATTGTATACAATACATATACTTGTATTTTCTTGGTAATATTTTACAAGATATCAGTTTAGCTTTTTAGTAACAAAGTTAAAATTTGTTTTCATGTCTACATTTCAAAATAAGTTCTGATTTAGTCATGTTATAGATTAGTGCTTTTTTTTTTTTTTTTTTTTTTTTTTTTCTGTGATATTTTTGGTGTATTTTGGTTATTCCCATATGTTTTTAGAGTGGGTTCTTCATGTATTTACTGTTAAAAGATGTTTTGTGTGCAATTTCAGTTTCTGGACTCATTCAGTAATTCCTATGTATATATTATTTTCTTTGTGATCTGATGTTTTTACATTAGCTTGGTATATTACATTACTTTGTAGGCAATAGCTGTATATGGGACAATTGTGATTTTCTCTGCAATTACAGGTGGGTTTGGTTAGTGTGGGTGATTTGCTGGCCCCCTTTTTTTTCTGCTTTTTTTATTACCTGTCATGCTTTCAGTTTAACTATAGCTGAGTTTTAATGTGTTTCTGTTGAATATTTTGAGAAGAGATAAATGTTTATGGAGGAGTTCAATGAATAATTTTGTAGATTAAATTATATGTTGTTTCTTTTTCTGTTGGCCTTTTTGTACTGTGTATGTGAGGGTTGCTAAAAACCTACTATGGTTTAGTAATCTTTTTTGGCTTTGTTAAAGATGGCTTCATTAGAAGAATTGTCAGATAACCTGCACTTAATTGATAGTGGTATCTCCTTGCTTATTGCTGGCAGATGGTTAGAAGATGTATGTATGTAAAGTAGTTTGTCATTGGGTTTTCTGTATAACTGATATAAAACATCTAGGAAACTTACTTTTTTTTTTTTCTTTTTTATGTCTAAGTATATTTTTAAAGATTATTACTAAAACATGTCCGAGTGGCTGTTTAAGTAAAAACAAGGATACCAACACTTCAGTAGTAAAAAAGAATTTAATTTTCACATAAACACAACAATTTTATCTTAGATAAAACAAAACCCTGAAGATGACATTGTGCGAATATTGAAAGCACTTGGAATAAAAGGATACTAAGGAACTTGGCTGTAAATAAGAGAAGATACTATTAAGAATAAGTAGACAAAACTTGTCTT